CATACCAAACGATAGAGAATTGATCAAGGAACACGATAGTGAAAGTTTCAAGTCGATATCTCCCACCGTTTTGCCGCAATCGCCGCGGAAAGTTGAAAAAGTTTGATTTTTTCGGAAAATTTGACCTTTGACCGGTCATAAGTAGGTCAAATGTTGACCTAGGACCAAAAAATATACCACCAATCGCGAGATCTCGTTGAGAGCAATCCGTTGGTTTTTTCCGCTAAGCTCTACGACCTTCCGTTTCGAAACGCCAGGGGGGGGTCGTAACAACCCCCCCCCCCTGGTCGTTCGTGTTATGAGAAATGGCCTGGTCGTGCGAGGGTTAAAACATTGGGCTTTCCATAAAACAAAATTGGGGTCTGGTTCCATTTTTCATGCTCTTCTTACATGTAGCACAATAGTCTGCACAAAACAAATTATTGTGCACAATAATCAATGCAGATATCGCCGTTCATAATGCTGATAGCTATCTGCATTATGAACGGCGATATTAAATGTGTTTTATTCATAAGCCTGAACTTATTGCTAAATTTATTATTAGCAGTGCTCTACAGCTTCTTGTAATCGGAACATGATAATCGACGTTTTTTGTAACCCAGCGCCCGTTAATATTGAATTAGGAGTTTGAGACCATCCCGGATAGGGTCGATCAGATAATGCACCGACGAACGTTCATGTTGATAACAGGCGTGTGGGCACGGCACGTTTTACCCTTTATCGCACAGAGAATGTGAGAAAAGAACCTTTATCGGGTGTGTCGATCAGATCCTCATAAGACTGTTGCAAAATAATGCACCGTATGAATGACAGTGCAAAATTGTTGGACAGACAGCTTGGGCATCTCTTTCCTTCTCACCAGAATAAGGTAACATACTTTGTTGCGGATCATCATTGATTTCTGTGATGTAGCCTATTACCGCATTATTTGCTGTTGCACATGTCAGCGGCAAGTTCTGAATAATCTTGTGTGCAGCTTCGCCCCTGAGATGCAGCGACTGGATGTGTTCCAAAACATTGCGGACTGACTGTGATCAAACCTGTTTGATACTTCTGTTGCAAAACTGCTGAGGCGTCGTAAGCATGACAAACGCCCGCCAGATTATTGCACAAGGCAAGCGGTCAGGGCATGGCAGAAGATGAACGGACCGATAGTGCACCCGGTCAGAGCTCAAACTCGTTTAATTCTCATGATCTGGGCGGAGTATGTCCGACTAGCATGACCCCGACTAGGCTTGGGAGACCTAAACGACCTATGTTTGTGACCCAGTTCGCCTGAGGGGCTCTGCGAGATCTGGGGACCCTTAGGAAGTTGGTTTATTTGGGTGGATCTGCTGCACTCTGCAGGACTTGCCTTCCATTGACCTTCTTTTTATACCACGGCAAGACTTGCGATTCTGACCAAAATAGTAGCATGCAACACAACGAACTGAAGGAGATACTCGATACGATACAGGACCTCAGTGCACTTCAGCACGGAAAACGATATCAACTGAACTTAGGCTTCTGCTGTAGCTATGCATTTGCATATGCTTAACTCTTTCAAATGAATAGATTATGGCGAGAGCAGAATTCACGCTAAGCAGAGATCACCGCTCAGGCTCTTGAGACTTACAGTTCAATGAGGAAATCTGCGGAAGACGTCAAGACTCAGTGGCGAAAGTTGAACTTGTTCGCAATTTGTACCGGGACTGTCTGATCCGCCCACTGATTTCAGCAATTGCGGAACGCAATCGCTGCCACTAACTAAAGTGATCCTCATCGGAATCTGGAGCTAGTGAGCGTAGAGCCTAGTTGAACTGAGTCGACCGCTCTTCGCACCATTTCGTTAGTGTAGGATTCCAACTCAAACCTGTTCAACAAACTGAGGCTAGAGCCTAGAAGTCATTTGAATTGAACATCTCATCTCCGAGTGAAGTGTAAAATATTTTAATGTCTTGTTAAATTAACGTTAAGCTATTACTGGTAGTTCTATGTTCGGGACAAAGACCGCGGCACGAGGAGAGGGCTGAGGTAACGGGAGTGTCTTGCAGAGTGGCAGAGTAGGGTGTGGACCGACGAACTCTGATCGGCGGGGTGTGACTGACGGCGAGCCACCCGTCTCCTGAGAACCTCGGTCAGCTCAACCCACCAACACCCATTCGTAGTGCAATGACGGCATTGCACGTGGAGACGTGCTAGTCGCAAGAGACTTGCACAAGATACGTTCTTATTTCTTGGGATGGTTTTAATGTCATCCCATTGTTTTATTTATTGTTGTTCAGTTTTAGCGTATGACTTAGAAAAATGACTGTCTTGAAACTCAGTAAGAGAAAAACCAAAATGATTTCAATGTTAATCACACTGATTTCAATGTTAATAAGGAACTAGGTCTGCACATATAACTATATGCCGGTATGAAATTGTTGGTCAATCAATGCAGTTACGGTCGTCCCTATAACCTATACCATAGATAACAGTAGAACTGTTCTACTGTTATCTATGCCTATACCTATAACCCAATCGAAGTATTTACTGATGTAGTGAGAAAGTATAACAAGTCACTTTGTTTATACATGATGATAAGTACCAAATATCCTCACACAGCGTTAGCTGAGCAACGCTGACTCAGCAAAAGTGCAACAAGGATTTTTAGGTCTGTTGCAGAAGGCGAGGCACAAACGACAGAAAAATGCGCAGCATTTCCGACAATACTCAACGGAACGTGAAACGGAAAAGGGCGTTCAAGGGTGCGAACTGGCAGTGTACAAAGACTGCTATCCAATCATTCATATTATCAATTGACATGTCGAACCGTATGTGCACTGCATTGTTCACCACATACACTGTACATTGTACAATCCACGCGTATACAGTACAGTACAGTACAGTAGTACTGTATACGCGTGGTATAAAATACAGTAGGCAGCCGTTCATTTTATACAGTTGTTGATGCTTGCAACTTGTGTTCAATTTCATACAACATTATATGCATGTTTAGAAAAAGTTAACCTACTTTACGAGCAAGCGGAGCAGCGCTGATGTGTTATTACCAGCGCTATTTCACATTTTATCTGGCTTGTGGGCATTACACAAAATAGAAGCAGAGGGACTCGCGAAATTCGATATCAAATTAACTGCGGATGAACTGACAGCTACCCCTACCACTCGAGTTCAGAGGAGTTCATCGGATGGGTAAGCTGATTCATGCCGTGCGCGATTGGTATGTATGGCATGGAACGACATACTCTCCATCACCGCGAACTTTTACTTGGTTCCGATCGAATGCTCTATGGTCAGAATTCAACGAGTGATGAAACCGGTCACTCGTCATTAGCTCATTCTAGGAAATTTCTGGCCAAATTAAGAAGCATGTAATGGCAGTAACCAGGGCTGCGGAGTCTGAGTCGGAGTCGTAGTCGGAGTCGGTCGGAGTCGACGGTTGTGACCGGAGTCGGAGTCGGAGTCGGAGTCGATTTTAGAAACCCGAGCCGGAGTCGGAGTCGGAGTCACCGAAATCTGTCGACTCCGCAGCCCTGCTAGGTCTGCGGAGTCGGGAGTTGGAGTCGGTCGGAGTCGACAATTCTGCCCGGAGTCGGAGTCGGAGTCGGAGCTGGTTTGTGAAAGCCAGAGTCGGAGTCGGAGTTGGAGTCGCCGAAAATCCATCGACTCCGCAGCCCTGGCAGTAACAAAGTGCTTTTGTCCTCTGCACAGAATATAGCAGGTACTGAGACTGGCATACTCATAAGGGGGCTTTATGGCCGTCAACATTCATTGCAAATTACAACAAACCACTTCCACAACTCAACAGGAATACAGCGATTTCTTTAGTGATTTTTATATTGTATTTTTAGTCATCATGTCCTTAGAAAGGGCAGCATTTATGCAAATGTCTCTTTCACGGGCCAGCCAGACCGGCCCTATCGAATAAGTTAATTGTCTAACTCTAATCTCCACATTTTTTTTTTAATTTATAGGCATGGCCAATAGATGGCACTAGAAACCAGCGCCTGAATGTATACTGTTCCGCATGGCTTGCTGCGAAGGACTGTCTCTCCAAACGCGATAAACATTAACGGTTAGCGACGCCAATTCGCTGTTTTCTTTTTAAATGGAAAGGTGTTACTCAAGCTGTGAAATTCGGTGACTGTAAGTCAGCGCCGGAACTGGATTGACGTGCTTTTGCGCGTTTTTGTTTTCTAGGTAGGCATCGATGCAATATGACAATGCCGTCCGCTGCGCTTGTTTTCCCGCACTCTTATATTGCCTGGAACTGGGAAAAAGCAATAGGAAAGTCATTGATGTTCATATGTATGATAGGGAAAGGTGACAAAGGCATGGGAAACGCGGGAGTGAACAATTAAACGGATTATATTTGAACTGATCCTCTATATGTTTAGTTAAATATTGAATGTGCTTTTTCAGCTCACACTAGTTAAGAGCTTAAACAGTCGAGCTTTAGGACACTTGTGGTGGAGGATGATTTGCATATCATGATAATTACCTCAGCTGCAAATGGCGACAGTGCCGTCCGGCTAGCTTCATAGTAGTGTACATAGTGGAGAACATAAAAGCGTGATTTTAGGTGGTAGAAACCATTTATGCGCTTACCATTAAGCACAAATCATGTGCCCAAGTGATACACTAATTGCTGTGACTATAACCATAATATTATAGCATATAATTACCTTCTGACTCTGTCACTAAACTTCGTGCTAATCATCTCCGGGGTCCAGGTTGTCCCGTGTGTGTGGTAGTAGGTAGTGTTATTGCCCATGATGAATTGAAGTCTCCGCCGGTAGGTTCTGCTCTCTGCCGTCCACTCCAAGGTCCACTCTATCTCCGCTGCTGTTCCTTCCGTACGCTGGCGTGCCGAAGTTACCAGCCGCCGGTAATCACCAGCCGCCGGTGATTACCAGCGGTGACAGCTCGGCTCGGAGCCGTGCCCCTAGTGACGTCACGGTCACGGTCGGGGGGCCCGCCCGGCCCCGCCCGCCTGGCCGTCGGGACGGGAGCGCTGCTGGCGGGCCGGTCTCCGCCGGCGGTCAGTCGAGTCCCAGCGTCTGCCTCGAACGGGTGGAATCGGAGAGAGCTCTGCGCAGTCAGTCGGAGCCGGACCGCAGCAGGAGCATCCTCAGAGCAGCCCGATAGGTGAACGGACGGAACGACCCGAGCGCAGGATCGGACAGAATGATCAAGGTGGGTGCCAGGGTAACAATTCAGCCACCAAGTCATCGGAGTGGAATGTGCACTTATGCATTATGTGATATTTAAGAATGTATGGGGATATTTTTCAGTTTGAATGAAATTACCTACGACTAATGCGCATTCCATAATATCCAGCATTTAACCTCTTGCAAAACATCTTGCTTGACATTAGCTCTAAGCCTGTAACCGACTATCTATTCATCATATCAGATTAAGACGTCGAGCAATTAGAGACGCTCGTGCTCCACCTCCTTTAACATAGTTCACATTCGTCCGACGCAATTAAACACGACTAAGCTGTTCGATCCCTGCTACCGGCGTGGTGTAATCTGCTTACCTGTTGAATGCGAGACCATCCGATCGATCTAGCGCAGTTACGCGAAAAAGAATCTGTGACACGTGTTCTGGATTATGAGCTCTGCAGCACCGATAGACCTACCTGCAGTCTCAGCGGTGGGGTTATATCGTGATAGTTAGTGTAGGTACTGAGCGGGACGCGTCGCATACTGAGTCTTCTGAGGGGGTAGTACTAAGAGGGACCCTCCTCATCCACAGATCTCTGACATTTCTAGGGGCACATCTCCAGCTGAGATTTGTGATGTCTCTTTGATTTATTATATGATTCCAAGAAAACATATATTAAAGGCTGAAACAGACTCATTCCGCTTTCAGGAAATCGCATGCGAGAGCTTATTCAAATAGGTACCTACATTATAATTTTCCCGCATTAATCGCTTGGGATAGGTGCGTGCGATTAATGCGAGCGTGCTTCCATGCATTTGAATTGGCTCTCGCATGCGATTTCCTGACTGCGGAAAGAGTCTGTTTCAGGCTTAACAATTGCCCTTGATGTTCTCTCCTCGCAGTGCAGGGAGGAGATCTATCCACTCTTTTCTCTGTTCACTTTCCACTCAAATCTTTCCCCGTATCTATGTTACCCTGTCCTTCAGAGGGGCTACCCTCGGTCCTGCCTGATTCACGTCACTGACTCGTGATGTCACGACCACCTGTGGCCGTGTCACATGACGGTCACCCCTGTGCACGCGCGTAGCGTGGCCCCGTCCGTAAAATACGACACACACTATTACAAGAACACTTATGTCGATACGCTAATTGATATTCGTAGAAGGATCATCGTGATTTTCGATGAATCCTTCAGAAGAAATATAATGCTCATTTATGAACATTAGAGTTCCGGCGGGGTATCTAATATGTGAAATTTAGTTGCTCCGTTGGAATCAAAGCATTGCTCGGCATCTAAGCCCAAAGCGGGCCAGGTCAAATCAGGAAATGCCGGGATTGCATCGAAGTTATCTCTATCATGTGTGTTCATGGGGCGTTGCAAAGTACAATGAATTATGCTTACTCACTACTCAGCATTTAATCAGACGAATACGTTAGACACGCCCTAAACCTCAAGCAACTGGTGAATAACTCTGTAGATTCGCTCATAAGCTTGTAAAAGGCAAAAGTGGAAAATGGTTCGGCGTAAATGAGCGCTTTGCAAATGACATAACGCATACACGCAATAAGTGCTACCCTGTCAATTAACTACACGGTGGTTTCAAAGTGATCACTTCTGATTGCCCGTCATACAAAGTATAGGAACTATGCAGTCGCCGAGAGTAATCCAGCATGTGCTGTAATGTGCCGATCAAATGCCTACATTCCGAACAAGAAACGTGCTTACTGCCGTTACTGCTTAACCTTGGCCTCGCACGAGAGCCCATGCAAGTGGCATGTTGTCAATCAGCATCAGATACCAATAATTCCTTTCCATTTTTAGGATTGAAATGGCATGGGTGCAAAACGACCTGTCAATTGGCGCGGCTAAGGCCCAACTTACTTAATCAAAGCTGTTAAAGGTGGTGCACGACTCTTGAGCTGAAACATTACGGCGTATTAATTTGTGTATCACCATTTTTCAAGCCAAAGTTTGTTTCTTTTCAAATGCTTTCCCCGTCAATGAAATGTAAATAGTGTTGTGCTTTCGCTAAATGATTATGATATAAAACGCCGCATTATATCGTTTAGTTGAAATAATTGTTTTCTACTGATGCATCTGTCCTCGGCAGAGCATCTGGCATTATCCACCGTCCTCTGTATCCACTCCACCCCTCATCCTGCCACCATTCCATCCTCATTCTTCCGTTCCGGCCTCACGTCTTAAGCGCTCCGTGTTTACGTTTATCCTGGTCTGATTCACCGGGCTCCGGTTCACCGAAAGCACGTGACGCAGATGACGTCAGACGCGCTAATTATGTGATGCTTATGAGGCCACGCCCGCCAATCACGTGACGTATAGTGTCCGACGTGAATTCCCGATCAGGCGTCACGACTCAGTCACGGTGCATATCTGGTGAACTGGAAATGGGATCTGGCTCTCCTCTAGGATTAATTGTGGTTCGTGAGTGGTGAGCAGTGAGCTCCTCCGCCGCCCAGGAATCAGGATCAAGAGGAAAAACGAGAATTGTAGTTACTACAGTTGATTATCTAGCTGCAAACGTTTCTACATGTGGAGCAGCATTGCTTGAAGCCTGAAGGTCAATACATCTGGAGTAAGTCACATGCAATGCGGTAAAATAATGCTGCTTACAAGATATTCCTTCCTGACGTATTTTCCGCTCTGACTGCTCTCCTTTGAGGAAAAGTAGACCACGGAGTAATTGTTATCAAAAGAAGGTAGACATGAATGCACTCCTTTGCACAATGCTAACCTACATTTATACCTTTTTTAATTGTGGTGTTGCTCACGAGTCTTGATGCACAGTCGTATGTGCTTACTGCACAATTGCTTGCCCGTTACCAATGATTAAGGTCAAATAAATATTTTTTTATCAATGGAAAGAATAAAAGTTCATTGGTAAACAAACATTCCTACCTGTGGGACACTATCTGCAGCAGTTTGCAGAGTTGGTATGTGCAGAGGGGCCGGATATAGGTGTGACTGCTCCCCTGAGAGGCCCCTCGCGTCCTTCAAAGTGCAACACAAAGGGTAATATCGACGACCATGGGTGGAGGAATGAGTCATTTGTGCGGGCTGCACAGAGCACAGCAAAAGACACGGACTGCCATCACTGAGAAAAAAATGAGGCATGACGGGATTTTCATGGATTCAACATGGGATGTTTTGCGACAGGACTCGCTCCTCTAATCAGCAAAAGCATGAAGCGCGCACATATAGTAAAATATCGTCACTTTTCATGTCGCAAAAGAAAAAAAAAACGGGAAACAATATATCTGTTACGGTCAATACAAGAAAGTTAATTTCGGTCCGTTGCACACAAGAAGCACAATTACCAAACATAATTTTTTTTAGGCTATGTAAACAAAAAGAAGACAGTACAAATAGGTAATTTAAACCGCGTGCCAAACGAAACGCTAGCGATACAGTGCTGTTAGAAACAGACACAGCTGAAAGTGTCTGCGGTGATGCACTAAGACGTACGTTTTTTTTTTGTCTCACACGTGGTCTCACGCTTCCCAAGATGTTATGGACTGGACGGACAGAGAGGAAATTCCGACCGAGTCTGTCTTTCCGAGAGTGGCTTAGGTTGCTTTCCTCTCCTCTCCATCCGTCTAACATCGATTGCATCGAGAACAAATCGTGAGCTGGCTGCGGACCACGGTACCATCTGCTCTGACTATTTGGTACATGGGCAATGGACATTGTCCAATGTCCAGTGAGCTGACTTTTATTGTACCTAATTTCCACCAACAAGAAATCTGTGACAAACCGGGGATGAGGAGATGGAAACGAATCCAGAACTTTGCACTTCAATCTTCAATTTCTTCCACGGCATTGGAAGAGATTCTTTTCTCGTATGGCATTCACGGCATTTAAGATCGGGGCCAGGAGTCCCAATCTAAAAATAAAAAATTGCTGTTAATGGACTATAAATATAACGAACAAAATTATTTGGTTGCGTGTACTTGCAAATAATATGGCATGTGGGCACTTAGTTATCCATGTAACTGATAGGTTTGCATGATCCTAGGTTCAGGTGATGCAGCAATTCAAACCTGTTTTGTAGAATTTCTTTCCGATCTCTGCTATAACTGGGTTGCGAGTTTAGTGCCTCATTGCGCAACGTACAAATGTTCCGTCTTAACCTTTCCTTGCTTCTTCTGCGGAGCCTTACTGTATTTATACTGCCTCTTCACAATGGTTACGGGTTACGTCATACCCAAGTTGCAGCATTCGTCTCGCACCTGGCCAAGGAGCTTTGGCCAGTCCGGTCTTAGATTCCGTGGGCGAACAGCACTGTATGTATATGTTCGTCTGTTCGAACATAAAGTGCTGCTCATGTGAATTCGCTACTGGTAAAGCTGATACTCTTCTAGGATGCGTCAGAATAAACCACCGTCACGCAGAGTCACACGGGCGTCACGGTAGCCGCGTCACGTCAGCGAGTCACGAGTCCGACTGACGCGGCCGCCCCCGCACCCACTGACACGCAATCTTACGCAGCCGTCACCCGACACGCTACTCTGCGCGGTAGTCACTACTGCTGCCGCAGCCCGCGCGCTACGTTTCGCAGTTACGAGGCGTAACACCGCAGCTCGTATAAAGTGCGTCTGCAAGTCTGCGGTCGTTGGGTTATGCCTATGGCAGGAATTCATTCATACGTGATTTCCGCGATCACGCACTGCTGCCTGCTGGTGGACAGAGGTGCAGAATCATACCCCTTGGATGACAATGATCACGACCAGTGCAAGGTCGTTCCTAGGTTTCCTGAGTCTGCGGTAATTCCCCGTGGATGATTCAAAGCTACAATTTGTAAACGGCGCTGCGCCGGCAAGTAAAAATGGCAAAGTTCACAGTTCCTTGCACGAGATCACGGAATTAGTCGTGGATAGGTTATCTTTCCCCGCAGTCTCTATACAGACCTTTGAACTGCAATACAGGACGACCTGTAGACTGCACCGAGTGGCCTGTGAATCTTCCCGTCGGATGTGCGCGCCGGTGACCGGTCTAACCGGTCGACCGATGTTTGCCCACAGTGCCGGCCCCACTTTTTGAGCTCCCGTTCCTCGGCAGCGCTCTGGTGCGGTTTTTGTTCCGGGGAGGGCAGTCCACTGAGGGCGGCGTCCGGTGGAGTTTGACATCCGTAGACGGAATATTGAGAACTGAGCGTCATCCGGTTTTATGCTTGATTAATGTCCAGTGAACCCTTGCTGATTAAACTGACTTCCGGCTCCCTATACCGCACTCGTGGCTGGAGAATGTAATGAGTAAAGACGCTGCTAGAAAAATGAACTGGATTGCACTCGGTAATTCGTGTACCTACCTGGAAATATCATATTAGCTGAACTATTTAGAAATACAATGTGTAAGACGCTAGTCACTTTAATCATTGTCAGTTGTACAAAGCTAGCGCTTAACTTCCTTATAGCTCTTTACTAAAAAAAACTCGCTCATTCAGCCCTTTGGCTCGTCCTTTTCACCCCCACACCATTACTGTCACCCTGAAAAGACGGTTCGTTTGTTTGACTCCGCGGAACGCTTCTGTTCGCAACAATACGCGTCATGGCAAGTGGGTCACGTTTATGGGTCCATTGTTGATACAGAGCGCCGCTGGTGGTGAATGCTGAACCTGGTGAACAGCGCCTACTTGGTATGGAGACGGGTGTTTGAGACTGCAGCTGCAAAAACTGAATTTGTGTTTGCTTAGTCGTGATGCACGTTTCGTGTCATGCTTCTGAACTATGACGGATAGCAGCCTACTGGGCACTGCAGAGGTGGGTCGGTTATGACAGTGGTTGTGACTTGTGACTGGATGGCAGATGCAAGCTGCAGGGATATCTGGGTTAACCTAGGATGACACTCTCCGTGGGTCGTAATGGTGTCGCCATTGGCTGTGTGTCTTTTCTGCATTGAACACCGGTTCCAAGCCCATGTGTAACTCTGTAAGAGCGGACTGCAGCGCGAGCCTGTCTGGGACACTGAGCTGCACTGAGAGGTATGATCTTAGCGCAGTTTATCTGGCTCATTCCGATGGAGAGCCGAGGACCGCAGTGACGCGAGCTACGGAGGGATGCAATAAGTGATGGCCCAACCTAGCGAAGAAAAGCAACAGGCGTCAGCACCCTGCTCACAACTCTGTGCCAGGTGAAGGGGCATACGGGGAGCCGGTCGCTTATCGCACCACGCCAAAGGTCTTACGGTCGCCGAGGTTTGACATACGACTGTAAGCGATTTTGAAAGACGACTGACGGAGGCTCAATTATCCATACCGTCTAGCCAGAGTGATCCATTTAAAATCCCGTCTTCCATTCACTAGGCCTGTCATTTATCTGTCGTAGGAGCCGTCATCTGTTCAGCGTCATCTTCTCGGAGTGACGTTTTCCATCGTCTATCTGACGCGATCAGCGCATACCGTACATGACAATTTGACATATAATACAGAGATCAGTGTTGAGTAATATCACTTTCTGTCACTATTGTTCAAACGGACCAGCAACGATCCTCGGCAACTTTTCATGCTTGCCGAACGCAGGGCGAGGCAGATTATAATAAAATAGGCCTGGATACCGGGATCTGGCCTCTCGCTCAATCCCTGCCCCAGTTTGGTTTACGGAACCATCTCGGAACAGAATGCAGTGCCAATCATGGTGAGAAGTCTGGCGCGCTAAGACGCCTCTCGTGTGTGGGGGTGTATTTCACGAACTCGTCCGAGCCGGTTCTTATAAACCCTTTCACGGCACGAGCTGAGAGGTAGAGTGGCCTTCTCCGGTCACAAGAGGCGCTTTGTCATGTCCTAGTTAGTTAAACTCAACAGCTTTAGTTATTTTTTATGTTTTATGTATTTTATTTTGTGATATACTTCGTGGTCGAGAATGAACTTGAGTTTGACGCTTCTCTCTGAAAAGGTTCAAGTAAATATGCTGCATTTCTATTCTTTCTTTACGGCGCCATTTATTATAAAAGATACAATCAAAAAACATATTTAAATTTGTGGCAAGTTCGGAAGCTTCTCCGTCCACGGACTGCTTGTGATGGCTAATGTTTGACTGACGTCACGTCCCACGGGCTGTGCGCCTGGCTCTGGTGGGAGCTATATGCATTACCATTTGACTGAAGTCGTCTTCCACAGGTTGTGCTGCTAGCTCTGGCAGGAGCTGCTGTTATCCATTGTATTTGACCGATGTCGTCTTCCACAGGTTGTGCTGCTAGCTCTGGTGGGAGTTGTCGTTTCCTAAGTATGACTGAAGTCGTCTTCCACAGGTTGTGCTGCTAGCTCTGGTGGCGGCGGCCGCGGAGGCGCTGCCGTTCGGGTTCACAGAGGGAGTGGCTCAGTTCAGGGCCCATCCTGGCTCAGGTAAGAGAATCTATCGTAATCCTCCATGTTTGCCGTAACTCGAAACAGACCTGCCAACAACGTAATGCATTAGTATAATCTCAACGCAGACAGCATTGCAGCATAATTCCTTCCAAATCCCAGATTTAGACGAGCGAAAACGGCCAACCTACCTCAAAGGTCAAGGTGAACGAGGGATATTCGCACCCGTTGATGCTTGCCATTCTCTGACGTTATGAGGCACAACATCTGACAACATGATCTGCTTCTTTAGCTGCTAATTTTTTTTTTTTTTTGGAGCAGGCTCAGCGATTAATATCTGGAAGCATTAAAGCAGTCGAACAATCAATGCAATCAAAACAATCAAACTTTCATTTTATCATGACTAAATAAGTATAATAGCAAAATTCATTTATTCGTCAATCTACGTAGATCTTGCATCACGAACCAGTTGCGCAAGTCCGTTTGGGGACAGAATTAGCATGAGACCGTTTCGACGCCGGAATGACTGGACACAGTTCCATAAGGAGCTGGGTTGGCTCCACGGTGACTGCGACACACCTTTCACGCTGGTCACCTTATTCACGGTGGTATTAATGGTACCACATTAGGGCTACCGTAATCGACGGGCAGCTGCGAAATGATAGGGTGAACGTTCTACCATATCCCACGTCAAATGCATTGTCGCAAGGTTTAGTCGGGAGGTGACCTTGACGTGAACAATGAAGAAATGTGGTAAAAAAGTATTCCAAAGAGCGTTTTTTTTTTTTTCGACGAACAGCTGGTCAGAATTGATTTCACTTCTTTAGTTTAATTTACTCTGAAGTAAAATGTGAAGCTCAACGGCTATTGCGTAGCCTTCATTGTCAATGAAAAGCATTTAGCCGTGCCGGCTATTTCGATCGCAAAAGATCGTACGTTCTTCATGGCCAATGATCCCTTGCTCTGTGTCATGCAGCCCGCGCCAGTTACGGTCCTCCCAGTGCGCCGTCGGGTCCCCTCGGCGGTAACAGTGCAGAGGTGGAGCGCTGGCTGCGGCTGCTCGGCCCCCTCAGCACGGCGCCCTCCAACTACGTCCAGGACCGCGAGGGGCCGTCCATCTACGACGACTTCTACCCCAGCGTCAGCCCGCAGGTGAGACTGCTGAAGAGAACGTCAACCCGATACTGAAGTCCACTGTCTCCCCTGGTCAGCATTGTTTTATTGAGGCGCACTGAGTGCTCAGTAGTCAGTGCTGTACCAACCCATCGCTAAACGTCCACGACATCATCCATGATCCATATTGCCGCTCGTACCATCCCTTGAATACTGATCGATAGGTAAACTGTACCACAGCCCGCCTGACTCATGGCCCTCCCGGATGACACAGATTCCCACCGCTTGCCGATTTAAGTTGGGTAAATTTCTGATGCTTATCGAAATGCGATCTGCATTAGTGTCACCGCGGTGAGCCGTGCTCGAACGACCTTGCCCGCATTTCTTTCCGTTGTGCCGTGCCGCTCTCCTTCTATGAGAGCATTTCGCTGAAGTATGGATTGCTATCTGTCGTGAGTGCCTGTTTGTCTGAACACCTGTCTGGATGCCCGCTAATTGTAAGCAACGGGAGCTCGCTGTCCGTTATAACTCCTGAATCTTAGTTTTCTGTCTGTCGTGTTAGTTCCCCTGTTTGTCTTTTCCGTCTGAGTGTCTGCGATCAAAGACTCACGTGTGAGTGCCCATCACCCCCGTGTGAATGCCAGTCACACTCTTAATGCCAGATGATGTGAATGCCAGATGCCTCTTAATCGCCGTCTGGTCGTCACCCGTCACCACATGCTCTTCTTGAGCCTCCTCACCCCTCCTGCCGGCGGTTCTTACCCGTCTCCATAGGGGGGACGGGGTGCAGGGATGGGACGCGGGTGCATTACTGGAGCTCTGTCACGACTCACGAGCACGACACAGGGGGAAGGAAGCCGGTGAGAGTGAGGTAGTCAGACGGGTTAGAGGGAGGAGAGAGGAAAGGGATGCCAGCACGGTGCAGTGCTGTCAGACATCAGACATTGCGAAGGGTGAACCATGCGTTGACCATTGCTGTGCAGTGTGCCGGTTGGTTCGTAATGGTTGTGTCGTTGTTTGTCCTCTTCGTTTGTAGGGGTACGTGAGCGGTTTATTATCTATTATGCTATCAATACCTTAATCAGTCAACCATCATCAATATTCAATACAATCAATACCAAAATCTCTAATCCATTTTTATACGATTTCTGACCTCGTTCATTTCGAGGTTTCGCTGATAACTTTGCGCTCATTGGCTGTCATTTCGTCACCGCGTTGCGTCCAGCTGTCATTCGGCCTGTCATCTCGGTTTTCATTTGTCAGTTGGAGCGTCACCCCTGCAATCCCGTGTCCATCACCAGTCGTTCAAACTCATACCAGCCGACAATAAAAGTGTCATCAGTTTGGCCCGACTGTCTCAGTTCAAAGTCCTCAGATGTCATCAGATACGATGATTAGGCAGATGAGAAAGATGGATGGGATGGTGTTATCGTAAGAACGTATCAAAGGCGGATGTCAGTGCGTGTGTGAGGGGGATGGGAAAGGGGATGAGAGTTGTCCCGTCCCGTGCTGTCCCGTCTACTGTCAACATCCAGTGCTCTCTCGCCTAACACAAACGCCTCCTGCAGTCCAGTCTGACGCCCAGTGTTGTATCTGACTACCCGGCGCTGTATGTGACTATCCTTTGCTATGCCCGACTACTCGGTGCTATATCTGACGCCCAGTGTCGCATCTAACGCCCCACGCTGCCCTCAGGCGGCCGCCTCGTCACGCACGCTGTGGTTCGAGGAGTTCCCTCACCGGCGGGCCGTCCTCAACTGGCAGGAGAAGCGCATCCAGCAGGGCCTGCCCGTCTACAAACTGCTCTCACAGCGACCCGGCTTCCCGTTCTACCAGGGCAACTGAGCGAGCTAGCGACCCACGGCGACACACAGTGACCAAAGTGCTGTGAGAGCCTGACGGCCGGCGCAGAACTGAGGAAAAAAGTGAAAATCGCGATCTCCCAACTGCGAGAACGGCACCCGTTACGAACATTCACGTCTTCCAGGGACGCAAGGTGTTTTTATGAGCGGGCTTCGTGTCGCTCAGTCTTCCCTGCAGGATTTTAGAGGCGAGAGCTAAAACGGAAGCAGCGGGTGCCATAAGTTCGCAGAAGGGAGTGATGGGCGCGTCGGAAATTCGTTGGTGCGCGTCAGAGGGCGATCGGAGGGGCCGAGGACCCGCGTAATGTGTTTGTGGAGGCCGAGGGATGCGGCGCCGGTGTCCCGGTGTGAGCTTTAAGTCGGATGAATGTAGAGCGAGCCGGTGACGACGAATGACGATGTTGATGTTGAAAATCGCGCCGGAGGCGACTGGCGTAGAGCCAGGCTCGTTGACAATACAGTGGTGAATTTTGTAGTTGCTTGGTTTTACACCTGTTCTCTCAGGAGCAGTAGTGTTATTCGAATGGCTGCTGGAGGGAAGCTCGCTTCAGCTTTAGACTTATCTGTCATCACACTCGACACAACCGTGGATCTGTCCGTTCGTAAAGACGACAAAGATAGGCCGTTAAAAAGTCTCACCACAGATGAGAATCTAATTAGACAATACAAAAACAAGCCATGAAAGGCATAGAGTATACTTTCCCAGTAAACATGACGACGTCGGCCCGACGTCGGGCCGAGGCTCGGCCCGACGTCGGCCCAACGTCGGTTCAACCTCGGCCCGACATCGGCTGCACGTCGGATATGCCCGCATGTTCCGACGTCCAGCCGAAGTCCAGCCGACTTCGAGCCGACGTCGGGCCGAGATCGTTTGCCGAGGTTGACGAGATCGTTTGTCGTTGGACCGACGGGGCCGACGTCGGCATGTTTATTGGGACAACGCGCCAAAAATATCAACCGGCGGCGGGATTCGAGCCCCCCCCCCCCCAGTCGCCGACGTCGGCATGTTTACTGGGACAACACGCCAAAAGCATCAGCCGGCCTTGGGATACGAACCCAGTGTCATTCGAACGCGAGTTTAGTGCGCTAACCACTACACCACGCAGCCAGTTAACGAATGTGGTTTGTTTTGTTCGGTTATGCCCTTTCGGTCTGACAAGACCATTTCAGAGCCGGAAGGATCATAGGATGGAGACATTGGTCTTCTTGGCGAGCACCCTGGGTCCAGTTCATATAGAGTCCCTGGTCCCATTGCTGTTACGTGACACTTATTGGAAAGGGCGACCCCACAATGGATTCATATAGCCACTCTTACACACCTGCACCAACGTTTCCCAAAGTGTCCCTTTGATAAGTGGCACTTTGGCAAAGTGACACTTGCCGACTGGCCTTTCTATATGAACTGGGCCCGGCCCTGGTGAGTTGCCGGGGCTGAGCCTGACCAAAGGATAGGCCGAGCAGCCCCCAAGCACTCACCGCACCCGGCTACGGGCGAGCTCGGCTTACGGGCAATCCCAAATGGGATAAAGTTTCCCGTCCAGTCCGGATCAGGGGGTTGCGGCGTGGAGGAAGATTTGAGTTTCCTGAGGATATTTTGAATACAGAAGCTCTTTATGAAACATGAAACATGCATTTTATATTATTTTAACGGTCAAAACAGCGGCCGATGTCGGTCCGACGTCGGCTGGACCTCAGCAATTGATCTCGGTCCGACGTCGGCCCGACGTCGGCTGGACCTCGGCTGGACGTCGGAACATGCGGGCATATCCGACATCCAGCCGACGTCGTGCCGAGGTTGGACCGACGTCGGGCCGACGTCGGCATGCCGATGCCGAGTTGCCGACGTCACCCCGACGTCGGCCGACGTCGGGCCGACGTCGGCATGTTTACTGGGTTTATTCACCAAGTACCCTGGAAAGACAATCCTGATAGTTTGGATCCATTCCAAACCACTGATATTTGATAAACAAGGACAAATGCTCAATCCGAACCGTAGCAAACGCTTTGAAGCTGTGCAAAACTCGACTGAGATTCCCTTCTTGACAATAACACCCGAGTCTGCGCCTACTACGAAGTGCGTCGCCGTTTTTTCAGTTTCGTTGATCCATCAGGAAGTCTCGCTTGTTTCTCCTATAAAACCTGGGGTCACCTGGAGCCGGTTTAAACCACAGGTACACAGAGGAAAGCTAGCTTGTCCTGGGAACCTCCCCCACAACTCGGGAGACCAACCACCAAGGGGTGGTGACCCGAGCCTTGCACGGTGCATCTCAGAAGTCTGCAGTTTGCACTAGTTCTCACGGAGATGAGCTGTCGACGCGAAGAGACAAAGCGATGAACGGAAAAAGGCAGCATATCTACCAACGCGACGAACCGGTGGGCCAGCAATGAGCAAAGCTTGCAATTGCGTCACCGGAAAATTGAGCACTATAATCGGAAGCCTGAGGCCTGAGCTTTCCTCCCACGTTAGTTGGTGCAGCGTACCGCATTCTGGATTTGCAGTCGCGAGGGGTGCTGTTTTTTTTTTCTGAAGATGCTGAGACTCGACACCGAACAGCGTTACCTGGCGTTATCTAAAACAGACTGCCACCGATAGCTCTGCTCCTTCTAAATCCCAACCCTGGGTCGCCATCCACATATGCCATTTTTAGTAAAAAACGACACCCTCAGGACTCAAAAAGAAAACAAGCAGGGCAGTTTGTAATTTGTATCATGCATTAGCCGGCAGTCCTGTATAATAATTATCTGAACACATATATGGCCATAAACACTCACACAATGACTCGCAATGGATGAGATCTGACGATTTGCCACCGTCAAGCTCGCACGCGAGGGTCTGCCAGTTCGTCCAAAAAAGGGACAAATCTTCCCCCCCCCCTACCATTACACTCATACTACATCACACACCACAGTCAAGGCCCCGCGTTCAGAAAAAAAAAACTCTGGGATGAGAAAACACCGAGGGTTGTAAACTAACACAGCCATCACATCACACAGGCCTGAGTGGGCCGCTGAGCTCCGTTAACGATCTGAGCTACGCCGCGCAGACTAGTAACACGCTAGCCTCTGACTCTGCTGTACCACCGACCCAGCCCTCTCCGAGGTAAACTATCACGGGAGCCCGCTCACTTACTGACCGTCTCGGTGACAGCGGTCTCCGGCGGCGCGTCTGTCCTTGCCCCGCCTGTCGCCTGCTGCGGAGGACCGGTCGCCGGGTCGGCCACCTCCCGGGGCGGCTCTGTCGCCTGGTCCACTCGAGCAGAGTTCAGCAGCACCTCCCCCAGACCGGGCGAAGAGTGGAACTGGGCTGACTTGATGCCGTCCAACAGAAACTCGGCCTCCTCCTGGAGAGCCTCCGCCTTCTCCAACAGCAGCATCTGACACCAAAACATCGACAATGTCACCAACAACGCCCATATCCTCATCGAAACACACACATCACCAAAAGATCGACACCAAAATCAAGATGACATGAGCAGGCTCCGGTATAATCAGGTGATCAATGGCGACAGAACAAAGGCTGGCAGCATCTAAGCAAGATGAATGACATATTTGCATCTGCCTGTATGGCATGGGTATTTCTTGTCATGCGAGATGAAATTGCGATGTCATTTGTTAATTTCTTTATCATTAAATGACAAACTTGATTCTAACCCAATCAAACTGATACATACACGTGTAGTTATTTCTTTTATTTTTTACCGGTACAAATGTTGAAACGATCCTAGATTACGACACCCAAAAACCGTACTATTATGAAACATCATCCATGTTCGATGATAAAATCTACGGCGACCACGGACCTCCAGCTGGGATTCGGCCCCAGACGCCAATCATATATCATCCATTCAGTCGTGATCGCAATGAGTTGCTGCAAATCCACGGTATCAATGAACCACCGCTAAAAACGACTATCAATAAGTGATTCTCATGGAAGCCCCGGAAAAAGGCCACATCCGGGGGTAGTGTTTCTGTCAATTATAAAACAATCGGTGTAGGATCGGCCCCTTTAAGTCCCCGACATTGGTGACATATTCCACGGACAAAAAGTGATATATGTGCTGATTGTTGTCGCCCACACAGAGATGAACATTGGCGATAAAAGGGACGATCGCGATCCTAGAGATCGTTCACGAATCGTGGCTGAGATGACCGCGTGACCAAGGACGGTCCAAGTGAGAGGCAGCTGTGCAGGCTCAATAAACAATGGCCGTCGTGCCGCACAGAAACCAATGATGGGACGATACGATCTATACGGCCAGCATCTACGTGGAAAGCGCAATTTGCAGTGTTCGGCAAGGTTATCAGTAGAATCGTCTGGTCCTGCTCAGTGGAACACGAAAAATAAATAAGATTTGGCATTGTAAAACGGTCAAGGGCATGCTTTTAAAACCCGGTAATTGGCACCGATATAGATCCAAATCACTCGACAACCTTCCTAGTTACGATGATTAAAGCGTTGATGAACAGGTGTGGCGATTTCAGACTAAGCTTATTTACGCTTTCTCATTAAGGTTTCTTACAGAAACATTCACAAACAGCTTGTGAAAAACACAGGACCAAAACACACAAAATACGTCGATACCAAGGCGCGCAGACCATCATTGATAACCTATCCCCACCAACTGTAAGTGTAACTTTACTCTAAAACAACGTTCATTGAGTCTCAGCATTCTATTGGGAAGTCTCACCTTAGCCGAGTCGACGATCTGCCGGGCGACGCGGCGCGGCAGGTGGTCCAGGGTCCGCACCAGGGCCTCGGGATCGGCGTTGGCCACGTCGGCGAGGGTCCGGTAGCCAGCGGCGTACAGCGCCCGCGCCCGGCCCTGGAGCGGAGGGAAGACACGGGGTAGAACACCACGGACTACGCTGAGGGACACAGCTGCCGAGAGAAATGGCTGACGAAAAAATAGACAAGAGAAATAGAAAATGGCTGCAAATAAGATTATTATCATGGCCCGTGGTCAGCTGAACAATAATTTGGCTTTCAGTCATACATGCACCATGAGTCATCCATTCATACGTACACTCGTATCGAAACAACTGGTAGGTATTGTTGATTTGTGGCACAAAAACAAATTTGTCCGTTTGATCTACAGGATCCGTTGATCTGTTTGATCTTTGATCGATTTGATCTGTAGGAATGTCATAATCCCCTGGCATCGAACACAGGTTTCAGTCGCTTATGTTAACTTCATGACATTACCGAGAACACATAATTTCAATCGGATAATCACAATAACCACCTCACAGCTCACTACCATACGCCGTCCCCGCCGCACCTGTTTCACGGCGGGCAGTTCGAGCAGCTGGGCCAGCTCAGCGGCAGCTCCGGTGGCCAGCTTCCTGTTAAACACATCCAGCAGCTGTACGAACGGCCACAGCTCGTCCAGCTGGCGGCAGAAGTGGAGCACAGCCGCCGAGAAGGCGCCGGTGGACTGCAGCAGCGCCTGCAGCTGACCTCGCTGCAGCTGACAGCGGTGGGCCGCGTCCCAGAGGGAGCCGCCACGAAGCGCCTCGTACACGACGAGAGTTAGGTAGAAACGGTGCGCCACCGGCATGGAGGACGCCTGAGTGGCATAGGGTTAGGGGTTAGATGCAGTGGTCAAGCCGGGTCAGGGGCAGGCCAAAGGAAACACGATGGGGCAGGCCAAAGGAAACACGATGGTTCAGGATTCAGGACCCAAGGGACAGACTGGGAGGTTAGAAGACATGGCAAGGAGGGGAGACAAGAGTCCTGGTGTTGGGATTAGAGGTCACATGACAACCCAAGGGAAGGATAGCGGCCAGAGGAGAGGTCACGAACCAAGGGTGTCGTTCAGTGGTCCTGTGTTTGAGGGAAGCAAGTAAGAAATAATTGAAGTATAGTGGGAGAAGAGTTCTGAGTTCAGTCTACACCGGTATGACCAAGCTTAAGAAAGCTTCCGGCCTGAGTAGGCGACCTGTCTGGTTTTATTGTCTACCGAGAATGTCGAGTCATGCACTACCAGCGGTCAGAGAAAGGCCGAACGACATTTCTGCGGGGTCGGAAAACCCTGCAGCGGCCAGCCTCCAAAGTCACCCTGGCGTTGATGATATTGTGACCAAAAGGCACGGCTTTATTTGTCATGACCATATCCTCACCGGATTATCAGCTAAATTAATGATGACCAGACTGGGAGGTAATTTCGAAGCATTAAAACAATTCGAAAATCGCGTCTTTCGGATGCTACCGAAAAAGTGATTCATTTTCACTCGAGCGTTAACGAGGGAGCAAACAAGTTGTTGCTGACCTTGCCAGTGAGTCATTTATAAGTGTTTTTGAATTGTTGAAGTTTGTTTGTTTCCATAGAATACGAAAGCGCCAGTAGCCACTAGAAAACAGAGTCCTGTGTTAACCAGAGAGAGAGTAGGAGATCACCTTTTTGCCGGACATCATGCGGACAATCTGCGCCTCCGTGACCCCAATCAGTCTGGCCACGGCCGCCTCCTCCTCGTTCAGAGCAGAGTACTGTAACGCACAGACGGATTACAAATTACACACGGGCGCCGGGGGTTAGACAGACTGAGATAGTGAGATAACAGCAACCAGCCCAGTCACAGCCGCTTCCTCAGCGTTCAGAGCAGAGTACTGTAACGCGCAGACGAGTCAAGGGAAAAGGAGCATTAATTGATCAAGTCACAAGATCTCCTCAGCATCCACAGTCGTGTACTGCAACGCAGAGGCGGGTAACTCAGAGGGAATGATATCCATATTCTATCCACTTTATCCATCCATCCACCCGTATCCACTATATCCACCTCCACTCACCATATCCAGGTAGGTGACGGCGCACGGCTGGATAAAGTCCATCATATCGTACGGCGTCACCAGGTACAGCAAGTGCAGCTGGTTGATCACAGCGAGAGCCGCCTGAGCTCGAGACAGGTCAGCGTACAGGCGACCGGCCAGTCGCAGGTCCACGTTTCCTGAAAGAGGTTAGGGTGGTTAACAGGACGAAATCAAAGTTTGCACCTCTACAGTTACCAATAGCTATTTTCTAAGGGCTGTTCAATGCATCACAGGTCACTTTTTCACAACATCCCTCACATCCTCCAGATTCTTTCTCATAGCAAGCGTTCAGCGGTAGTGGGCAACGTAACACCGAGACGTCATGGGCACTGGGCATCGAGTGGTGAGAAGGCTTCCAGCACACAGGGCCACCCACCCAACCACTATCTTCAACACAGTGCTACACCGTTAAAGGTAGTGTGCCAGCTTTCTTGGACCGTATGGAGTTAATGGCCCAGATAAGGAGAACCGGATTTTTAGAACTTATCCATACCTTCAAAACTCATGGAAACGTCTTAAATTCTTCAAATTTTGAGTACCCCAGTGCGAAATTCGCCCCGACGGGTTGTCGGTCGTACCCCAACCACATTTCACACCACTATGAACAATAAATGCACACACTGAAATCGCTATTACCGATATGCTCATCCAATCAAGTTTCGATAAACCCGTTCATCATCATCTCCTGCGGTTTCGAACACGCCTGTCAGGTGGCTTCTGATGCTCGTCGAGGTCGGAATTTCCAAATACGCGTGGTGCGTCGGGCCGCGCGCTCTGACTTCGGCCAATAAAAATGCGTCAGCTGATCATTGTCATTTCTGCCACTTGCGTGTGGTGAAATGGGGTCATAACTTATAAGACGGCTTTTTCATATCAATTATTTTACATAAAATCATATTTCAAACCATAAATAATGTTCGACAGCCAAATAAAAGAAAAAGTACCAATACGGGCTTACAGTTTAAGGCTCGACATTGTGTTGTCTACGATTAGACAGCTGATAACTCATTCCCGTACGTCGTATGGTCGTAACACTATAATGACCTAAACCTTTGCTTATTGTCACAAGTGCGCCGCATTCGCGATTGCTGCCCGACGCCTGTTTGCAGGTGAGCCCACTACAGTTGTTATACATATCTAAAAACCGATAAACTTTTAGGCGAAAAAGGCACTATTCCAGGCCCATTTTTGATTTTTTTTGCGATATTAGGTAAAAACAGAAGCTTCTTATCCTAGGAAAAATAAAATGGGAAATCTTTCAAAGGTGGCACACTACCTTTAAACCCCAGAACAGACAGCGCAGGAACTGTCAAAGCCTGCGCCGATACCCACCTTTAACGGCAGCCGTGCCGAGTCGGCTGACCTTCAGTTGCCACGTCTCCGACCAGGCCCGCCCGTCAGCGGCCAGCTCCTCCGCCGAGATCTCGCCCGGATCGTAGTCACGGGCGGCGTCACGATCGGCGTCACGGGCGGCGTCAAGGGCGGAGTCACGGGCGGCGTCAGTGTTGGCATCACGTTCGGAGGCTGTCTCCAGAGCAGCAACTGGCTGAGGGTTGGCCGTGTTCGTGCCGCCGTCCCTCCGACTGATCCGGAGTAGTCGCTCGCTCCTCAGCGCAGCCACAGTGTCGGTGACGAGCGCGGTGAGGTCCACCTGGCGATGGATAGCGGAGACGGTGTGATACGAGAATATGACTGCAGATGACAGTGCTTGGTGTGTGGTATTATTTACACGATGAAACATTTCAATCGCATAAACTTGATGCGATATGACAAAAAAGGTGACGTAGTGCCTGAGTGGCTGGCCAGCAGTGTGCGGCGTAGCAGGCAGACCAGGGGGGGGGGGGGGGTCTCACCTTTAGCGTCTCAGCCTGTTCTGCCAGCAGTGTACAGCCTAGCAGGCGGATCAGCAGAGGTCTCACCTTTAGTGTCTCGGCCTGAGTAGCCAGCACTGTGAGGCCCAGCAGACTGATCAGTCTCACCTTTAGTGTCTCGGCCTGTTTTGCCAGCAGTGTGCGGCCCAGCAGACGGTTCGGCTCAGGGGTCTCACCTTTAGTGTCTCTGCCTGTTTTGCCAGCAGTGTGCGGCCCAGCAGGCCGACCAGAGGGGGAGAGGCTCTCACCTTTAGCGTCTCTGCCTGTTTTGCCAGCAGTGTGCGGCCCAGCAGACGGACCAGCGCCGCCGGCGAGTCGGCCAGACCCAGAGCCACGGCGGACAGCAGCAGACGCCTCAGGCCGTGGCCGTCCTGCTCCAGCAGTGTGGAAACACACCGCTCCATGGGAGCGGTCAGCAGCTGTCCCACCTGGGCACGGGGTTAGGGTAGGTCATTTAAGGGCAGCAGATGTTCCACCTGGGCACATGAGTCAGGGCGGGTCACTGCAGGTAAGCAGATGTCCCACCCAGCGCCAAGGGTTTCAGCAGGTCAGATCGCCTCATGTCAACAGCAGACAGGGTCACACACACAGCGTCACGACTGGTCAATTCAGCTGACAGGACAGCTGGTCACTTCGGATTAGCAACAGACATATATAATGCCAGCAATGACAAAAAAGGCCGGCATAGGTTGGCAAAGCAGTAATTCAACCCTGTATGACGAAGTTGCAGCAGCATGAGCTGGCAGTGAATGACACACCAACAGTATTTGCCCCAGCGTTTGTTTTTGTTTTGTTGGGTTAGGCCCTTTCGGTCCAGTAAGACCATTTCAGAGCCGGGAGGATGATAGGATATAGGGGGAGACATTGGTCTGGGCAGGCACCCTAGTGAGTCGCCGGGGCTGAGCCCGTCCGAAGACAGGCCACCCAGCCCCAAGGCACTCACTGCACCCGGCTACGGGGTGCGCTCCCTCGGGAGCAGCGGTGCCGCTCCAAGGGAGCAGCCCGCATGAGATAAAGTTGCCTGTCCAGCCCGGAGGGGGGTTGCGGTGTGGAGGAGAAGGATTTCAGTATCCTGAGGATAGAAGCATGGAACGGTCTGCCCCAGCGTTCGATCGCCTGGGCCTGGCTCTGCCGTGGTGCGCTGTGCTCACCAGTTTCGCGTCGCGGGGCGAAACGATGAGGATCGACTCTCCCGAATCATCGATGCCCGCTCGGCCAGCCCGTCCCACCATCTGCTTGTACCGGCCCCGGCTGAGGAAGGCTGAGCCCGTGTACGGCGACCGCAGCACCACCTGGTGACACGGACGGGAAAGAACAGCGTCAGCGGGGCTGGGAAACAAGTCCAATGAGAGCTCCACGTATGGTTGGCAGCTAGCAATGATTTAGAGATATGCAAGTCTATCAATTAGGAGTTAATGTGTACATAATGTGTAATGATAATGTGTACATATACAACCAATTAGGAGTTAGTGTATGGCAAATGTGAATCGATAAAAAAATAACTGACATTGGACCTAGCCCTGCAGCAACTCACAAAGGGTCAACCAAGAGGTGACCACGTCACCGGCTTCCCAGCAATTTTACTAGAGCGATAAGTGCATTCGTGCATCGTGGGAGAACAACACACCGGTCAACACTCCACCGATTAGCGAGTGTCCCAGCAGTCCCATCCCACCGCCAAGAACCGACGCGGCGCGGCGGGACGTACCCGTTTGGCCGGCAGGTTCACCCCGGCCGCTAACGTGGAGGTGCAACAGAGACAGCACAGGGTACCCTCCAGGTAGGCCTCCTCCAGCAGCTTCCTCTCGTCAGTGGTCAGACCTGCCGGGTAGTGATGTCAATTACGGAAAATCGGAATACCGATACCATGGATGATATAACACTGGATTGGTGTCTCGTGGAAATTAACATTGGGATCCGCGACATTGGGAGCAGGCCTGCCATCTAGCGAGAGAATTATCGTAAGTTAGGAGCAAGCCGAGTGAACGCCATCTCTCAGCATTATGACACACGTGGGTGTAGTGTGTAAGTTGGCTTAAAGTGCATATTCCCACGAATTGGAGGTAATCTTACTGGACTTGAGACGATAAAAATGTCTTAAATGCTTGAAAGTCAAAAATGTCAAGCAGCATTTAGGTAATAACGAAATAAAATGCGTAAGACGATGTGTGTATTGAAACGCCCGGTCCCATCGGCTTGTTCGACCTTTTCAATGGTCATTACTCACAATGATACAGCAGTTTGACAGTATGTCATACATATTTGGTAGGCTTATTCCTTCTTCTCCGAATTTCGCTCGATTTTCTTCATCTTAGTTAATTGTTACGGCACGTGCCACGTGCCAACTTAGGGGTGTCAAAATTGTTCCACATAGAGTAACTCCGCAATGGCTGGGCCCATTACAGTAAAACTTCGTTAATAGTTAGGCACCCAGTGGCCAATGCATTTCCATGTGTCACTATGAGGGTGCTACTGCACGTGCGCACGTGCGGGGTGCCGCTTCCATATCTCAAGAACAGCTGGGCGGATAGCACTCAAACTTTGTACACAAATGTCACATCGATGCTCGCACTGCATTGATCAGTGCTTACATTGGTGCAGAGTCGTAAAGAAAACGAGAAAATGAGATGCGTGGTGTTTATGCCTTTCTGTTCCAGCAGTTGATTGATCCGCAACTGGAGATCCTTGTTTGTGAAGGCTTCGTCTCCCTTTTCCACCCCTTGTTTAAAATAACATTAACAATGTACTTACGAAGAAGATCACACATCAAAGTTGTTTTAGGCGGCTATCTCGGGCCAGGGTTGCGGAGTTGTAGTCAGAGCCAGCGGTTCTGTTCCGACTCGGAGTCGGTTGATTTTTAAAAGCTGTAGTCGGTGTATGAGTCTAACGTCACCGAAAAGTCATCGACTCCACAGACTTACCAGGGCTGCAGAGTCGGAGTCATAGTCGGAGTCTGTGTGAATCGACAGTTCTGCCCGGAGGAGTCGGAGTCGATATTTGGATACCGGAATCGGAGTTGGAGCCAAAGTCACTGAAATTTCATCGACTACGCAGCACTGGTTGGGTCCCTTTCAAAGAGCGTCTTGAATGACATGTTGAGCGGCAATGACGTTAGCAATGCCGTTCAACTTTTTCATTAGACTTATAGATAGTACTTAACGTTCGTTTTGTTCTTTGATCGGGCAATTTGTTTGATTTAGGCCAAGTAAAGACTCATGTGAAAAATAGCAAACACGACACGTGCTGGCGAAGTCTCCAATAACTCCCTGTTTCACGATTTAATCAGGAAATAACATGGAACTGCTTATCTTATTACTGACGCTGCACATAAATCTATTAATTTCTTCGCTTTAACTGACATATAAAGACATAACCTTTTGAAAATTTGCAAAACAAGCCCGCTACTACACCACACTCCCGTGTGTCACAATGCTAATCAGCGGCGTTCACTCGGCTTGCTCCTAACTTACGATAATTCTCCCGCTAGATGGCAGGCCTGAGCTCAATGTCGCCAAAAACTGCGAAGACACCAATCCATTATTATATCATCCATGCCGATACCAAACCAAATACCAACCAAAACCGTGGGGAAATACCGAAACCAAACCAACTTGGGAATATGAGGAAAATACCAACTTTTTACCAAGTTTTCAGCCTGTTATACATTAGTGAGGGTTCATGATACCAACAAAATACCAAACACATTAGCATTTAAATACCAAATACCATGTTGGTATCGGTTTGGTATCGGTATACAAAAAAGTTGGTATCCGATTGACATCTGTACTGCCGGGGGTCATGGGGGGGGGGGTCATTGAGCATTGAGGGGTCACCGGCGGGGGGAAGCTGAGGGACTGTAGGGTCATCACATGACAGAGCGCTTCGGGCATGAGCAAAGTCCTGAAACAGGAAGACAATCTGAGCATCGCACGAGTCAAACTCGACAGTCACAATGAAATACATACATGCAGACTAAGCTACTGCGGCTCAGTCTGCACAGCCCTGCAGCAGGCATAAATCAAAGGCAGTTCACGATAAAAGCAAAGGCTAAGTAGGCATATCTTTTGATCAATGCCTACTTGATCAAAATCTTTCGCATTTCCTCTTGTGGTAAGTTTTCAGCTACGCAACATTAACAAATAAGAAATGAGCATGTCTCTCGATTTGCTTAGTCATCATATGTACACGTACCTGAGTGGTGGTACGCCACGCCGTAGGGCAGGGTCTGTCTGAGGACAGGACACACCGTGCCGCCTCCCTCGGTCACCAGCGCGGCGTACAGTGATTTCTTCTTGTCCAGCACGTGCTCCTTCAGCTCACTGGAAGAGGGTCGGGGCCGATGACAAATTGAGGAGACTGGGTGAGTGAGAACATCGGACACTTTTCGTCAAGTGTACGTTCTATTCTTGCTGGTAGGTGGGCTGGTGATGCGACTTTCGAAACCAGCAATAATGAGAAATAACACCATATTGTGGAGAAATTACCAAAATCTCACACAAAGGTACACAAAACTACACCCCAAATCATTCCACCAACAGAACAGGTGTCAGGAACTTCCCAACACAGGTAAATGGAAAGGTGTGCCATTCCCCTCTTCCCACTAAATCAGAATACATACCTCTTCAGCGCTAAGCAGATGAGCCGAGCGACGGCCTCGCAGTTCTTGCGCGTAGGGCAGAAGACGAGACAGGAGTTTGCGGGGACTACCTCGGCGACCAGGCCGCCTACGCCGTCCGGGTCCCGCTGACGCTGCTGCTCCGTGTACTGGGGACAAATTGAGAGGATGTTTATACCGCGGACATGGGAGAGGTAATCATATTGGGACAACATGAGACGGATTATCATACTGGGACAACATGGGACGCATGGTTATACTGGAACAACTTACGTCGGATAGTAAATATAAGGGAGCGGTCCACTGACCGAAAACAAAGAGACGATTCATTATACTGGGACAATATGGGACGGTTAGTTGCATGGACGCGAACAACGAGATCTCGAAAAATATTTGCAACGCCCTCACCTGGAACAGCGGCGTGCGTCGTGGCGTTAGCAGCGCCCGCCAGTCGTCCGCGTCGAGCGGGGGCGCCTTGGGCGCCGGTCCGGTCACCTCCAGCAGCTGACCGTCGAGCAGCACGTGCTCGCGCAGCTGGACGGGCCGAAACTGGCCCTGGTACACCTGTGCCTCGAGGAAGGCGGCCAGGTCGTCCATGTTGCCAATGGTGGCGCTCATACCCACTAGGTGCGCCTCGGCTGTGCAGGAAAGACGGTGGGGGTTAAAGAGTAATCCTGGGTAAAATGAGAGGGTACATGTTGGGGGGGGGGGAGCGCCCACTCACACCATGATGATGCATGTATTGAACGATAATTACATCGATTTTATTGATCATTTGCAATGCCAACAGTATCGCACGCCAAGATAATAATAAATGTGGTCCCAGACTGACATGATATCAAAATACCTAAACGCACAATCACTGTTTCAGTCCACGCATCCCCACCCACTCTCTCAGCACTCCAGTTCTCTCTCTCTCTCCCCGTTCCGAGTCCACTCACGCGCTGCCGCCTTCAGTTTGGTGATGAGAATCTCCAGGGTGGCGCCGCGTCCTCCCGACTCTCCGAGCATATGGACCTCGTCGACCACGACCAGACCGAGCTCCGAGATCCGGTCGGCCTCCAGTAGACTGCTTACCAGACCGCTGGCCTTCTCGATCGTGCACACGTACACCACACGGCTGTCGGAACGACGGGACGGGCAGTTCATTCTCATTGGCTGAGATGGAGAGACCGGGACAACGAAGCGCATTACCAGGCAGTATGTTTGTACAGTTGAACTCAAACACGATGTTTTCAAACACACTGCTACTCTTCCAAACAATATTCGATAGCCAGCAAGGCATGCAATTAAGAACATTCTTTCACATTGCACAGAAGTACACGTAAAATTGCTACAACAATAATCGAAGGACCTCTGCGAGGCGCTAAATCAAATAGATCAACAATAGAAAAGTGATCGTTGGTTTACACAGGCTCACGCCCTGCGTCTGCTCACCGTTTTCTGCGTTTCACGGGCGGGAAAGCCCCGCGACTTCCCGCGTACTCCTCGATCAGGAAACCCAGAGCGATGCCGAAGGGAGCTAGCGCTCGGACCTGCCGGTGAGATACATGATCACGATTAACTCATAAATTCGGAAGTTTACATTGCTGCTTGCTAGTTGATAATCGTGCAATTAGCGTATCAAAATTACTTAATTACTGTTGCTATATATCGGGTATATCAAATTACTGTTCATCAAAAGGAAAGCGAAACATAAAATAGTATCATACCAGTGACCAACAATTATCCCTACCCCCAGTCACCCCGTGCCCCTGTCACCAGTGTCACCCACCTTCTCCTGGACGATGGCCACGTAGGGCAGCACGAGCACAGCGTCACGATGTCGGCAGAGCACCTCCTTCAGGATGAGCAGCTCGGCCACCAGCGTCTTGCCGCCGCTGGTCGGCAGGCTGTAGACGAGGTTGTCGCGCTTCAGCACGGCCGGCAGTCGCAGACACTCCTCCTGCCACTCGTACAGCGCCGTGATGCCGCGCTGCTTGGCCAACAGAGTCTGCACCAGCGACGGAAGGCCATGGAACGGGCCCACGGCGGAGCACGGCGGCAGCTCCGTCTCGGCGGCCCGAACCAGCGCCGCCCGCCGCCGCTGGCTCTCCGCCTCACACGAGGATGGGGCTCCACTGATCTGTGAGACCAGCGCCGGGCTGACGCCGTAGGACGGGAGGGGTAGTGACGGGGAGGCGGCGCCCCACTGCGACTGACTGGAGGCAGCCAGACGCCGCCGGAGCCGCTCAATGGCCGGCACGGAGCGCGGACGAGGAGTCAGCTGGCTCGGCTCCTGAGAGAAGTCGGCCGGCGGCGGGCTGGCGGTGCCGCGGCCGGCTGGGCTGGGTGTCGACCTCACCCGGCATGGCCGCCGACGCGAGACCGAGGACGTCTTCCGACACAGCACTGGCGAGGTGAGCGGTGCAGCAGCGCTGGGTTCGGCACCGGTCTGGGCTGGTGGACTGCAGATGGATGTGGGAGACGCCGATACTACCGGCTGCTGGGCCCCAGACTCTGGGGTGGACGCGACAGCCGCCGGAGAGAAGTTGAACAGGTCTGTCAGCGAGCTGTCCAGGTTCAGAAGTGCCTCAGCTCCCGGACTGGTTGGGCAGGTGGATCGCCGACGCTTTGGAGCACTTTCTTCCACCGAAGACATTTTTAACAAATCCTGCAATGCAGAGAAGAAGGGTGGTGAGTTTATGAGCTATGCTGGCCTTATTAATAGTACAAGTCATACTCATCCATTGTAAACTGTTAGTTTTTTCCCCCAATACAATTCATCAGATTAAGATGTTAGCAATATTGTTAACATTATAAACTCAATCTTCTTTGCCAAAATGTGTAGAATGTAGAGCTTTCTCAAAGTGTTTGTTCAAATACCTATGACTTCTCATTTAATGTTTGCCTCAATATAACACACCAAATATCCATGTAATAAAAGGTCTCGCAGTCCATAATGAGGCAGCAAAATATAAGAGTACCTATGTTAACCGGTACCTACAGGGTCTTTCATAATGAATGTTACTTTTGAAAGAGCTATTTCTCAGGACATATATGTTCCTCATGTAATATGTACCATCACATGAAACAGAAACACATTAGCGTTTTTGCACACACAACTTTCATTTGAATGCTCCTCAGGAATTTTCCACTGTATCGCCCTTAATTAAGGCACAGGTTTCGGCCCTCTGACGAAGGTGTCGCACCCCGCGCCTCACAACGTCTGGGTCCAGGCTTCCAGCAAACCTCTCCACTGTGGTTCGCAGTGGATGGCTGCAGGAGGGTTTTGTCTCAGATCTGCCAATGCGACTCCCCAAAACCATATAGTCCAGCGGGGAGAGGTCAGGACTCCGTGGTGGCCATGGTCGCTCGGTGAGGCGGCTGATAACGCGCTCTTCGAAATTCTCGATCAGCCACTGGCGCAACAGCTGCCGTGGTGTACACTGTGGCACCATCCTGCTGGAACCACAGGCCGTCTCTTTGAACCTTGTCCCTGACCTGAGGCAGAAGCATTCCTGGAGCAGCCTGAGGTAAGCCACCCCGTTCAGTGTTGACCCAGGGGAGAGCCAATGGATGAAAACTTGTCCGTCGACCGTAATCCGTAATGCGTTTTAGTGGTGTCGACATACTCTGCTTTTCCGTGAAGGAAAATTGGCGTTGTGAATTTTTATTTCTTTGGGACAAAACCCTAATCAATTTGCAACAATACGCACATAAAATTCACGCGAAAGTGATAAATTAAGAGCTCCTAACTAAATGTTCAAAAGTAACATTCATTATGAAAGACCCTGTATGTTAACCAGCACGGCGCGCGTGCTGGGGGAAGGGGCGTTTGTACGCTCCCCCTCAGGCTTTTTCGCGAATATCTCAAAAACGGCGGCGCGCTGCGCGCGTTTTTGGTACAACTGTTCATAATCTTTTCCACATGTTTTGAAAAATTTCAGACCGGGGCCGTTCAAGGTCAGGTCACCAGGTCACGTCAAAGGACCTTACCTCAGAAAAGTTCAAAGGCTCGCTACCGCTACACCGACTGAACGATCACTTTAAAACCTTCAGTGATTGATGAGAATAAAAGTATGCATAAAATGTATATCTCATTTTTTATATCTGTGACCTAAGGTCAGGTCAATTTTGCAATCTCTTCATTATCAGTCAAAGGGAGAAAATTGAAATGAGCCTCTTTTGGACGAATGTCGTTCAAAACCCTCTCAAACATGGTTTATTGGTAAACATGTCACACTGAATTGAAAAAATGCACCTGTGACCCCTCTGTGTGCCCCTGAGGTCATCTCAGGCCACGAACGGTCACCAGCAGTTTTTTTGCTACAACTTTTGATAGAGACGTGCTAGATCGGTGAAAACATGTCAGATGTGTTCAGCTCGATGATACTACGGACTGAATGATATGCAACATGACCCTTTCCAGTCAGCTCATGACCTTGAATTGAGGCCAAACTTTCAAATATGACCTTTCAAGGTCAATGAATGATTCATTCGATGCGTCTCGATGAGAGGAACACGATGGTGGCAAAATTAATGTCATGGCTCTCTTAAGTCAAGTGTTATTACCTACTGAAAAAACATTATCGTAAAAACAGTTCTTTTTAGAGTTTTTGCCTTCTGGCTGGAGGCTAAACTGTTGACCTGAGGTCAAATCTTAGAACAATACTCAGAAATGTCTATAAAAGGGCTATCGAATATGCTTTTCTGCGGCGCTATAGCTCTATAGGTTCCTGAGTTAGCCATTGGCAGTTTCCAAAATTGTTGAAATGTACTAAATTTGACCTTTGAAGACCTCTAGTGAACTGACATTTGACCTGACCTAAGAAATGACCAAAGTGTTTCCTGCATTATTATTTACTCTCTTTCGATTGCCGCTTACTGTGTGTCGCTACATGGCCCAGGAGCCGAGTTAGACAGGGGGGCGTAAAAATGGTCCCCCTAGCACGACACGGAAGACACAGCCCACCATGCACGGCGCGTCGGCGCGGGTTAAGTGGTGGAGAAGCCTCAACTCTCCTCCTAAAGTTTGTCATGTATTGCGAGAACAAGGCTGATTTTGATTGGGCATTGGGCAAGCACTAGTGCTGCATGTATGAAGTGCTATAATTGTTGTTCATGAACTCCTTGTAACATGATCAAACAAAGTTTAAAACTGACAAAACAAAAGCACATTTGGTAACATCAAATAAGAAAATCAAGTTGATGCTGTGTCTTCCTTTAGAAAACATCCAAATGATGGCACTGCTGGTAGGTGCGTTGCGTCTGCCTGTAAATTTCAAATTTTGCGGCTAAAATCGGGCAGGAAGTCCTCACCCGGTTACTGATTTGACACTGATTGAATAACGCTACTGAAGTACATAATTTAAACACAAACACAGTAAAGATAATCTATTTTTTCTATAGTACCAGTAGTACCACATGACATGCAAATGACACATCATCAACGGATGACAGCGCATGACAGCGAAGCTTGTGACATGACAGCCAAATGACAGCGATGACAGCTATCAGCTGATTTCTTGGTGCGGCAATAGTGACTTGTTCTATTTTTAAATCGTCGATAGCTGACAACAAATATGCACAGTGGTAGGTAAAACCATGGATTACCTACTACCTGGATCGGCAACTCCGCGGAATTCCCATTGTATTGCGCGACCGCCCGAAAGTGCTGCCACCTATCGAGCAGACTGATCCCTGCTAAGGACAGCCCGCCGCCGCCGCCCAGTCAGGCAGCGGCCAATACCAGCAAAGTCCGAAAATGACCGGCAAGTTACATGGCCTGAACCAGCCGCGGCTAAGTTTGGCATAGGCCAACAGTGTCGGGTTCCGGAAGAGCGGTCCAGGGCGGTTCCATAGACTATGTATCGTTTTGGAAAGAATGGTTTGGTGGGTCGTTTACCGAGCGCGACTGGCCGATTTTACCTCAGCACGTCGTATTGTTAGCTCTCATGGCCAGGCCAGGCGCCTTCTGCCAGCTGCCTGAAAATACCTTCGATCAAACGACTTTGTCTATCACTCGGGTTGCCCCTGATCAGCTTGAGCATTCCAACTCAGTCGTCGGTAGACCGCAGAGGAAATGTGCCGTCCGCCGTGAAACATCCAAATCATTGCTACAGCCATTTTGACTGACTTATAAACATCAAGACAAATGCTGTCATATCGATTAACGAATATCTGCACCACTGACAATTTCTATCAAGAAGCATTCCAGGATTATAAGCTTACCATACACCGTTTCGTTAAAAAACTGTTTCCATATTGAACTTATATTTGCCGTCGCATGAGCGAATTGCCTACTGAGTACAGGCTGAAACCGATTCTTTCCGCAGTCAGAAATCATGTGCGAGACCGAGAGCCTATTCAAATAAACCCCGGTCGCACGCGCATCCATAACACGCACCTCCTTGCGTGCGATTGATGCTATTGCAACTTAATGGATTTGAATAGGTTCTCGTGTGCGATTTCCTGACTGTGGAAATAGTCTGTCTCGGCCTGAAGTTCAGAATTTAACACAGGTTCAATGACAACTAAGGTGAACGATGACACACAATGTATACAATGCATATTATTGCATAGACTGATAGGTAGGTTTCGAGAAACGACGTGCCACATGCCTACTAAACGATGTCGTAGCACCAAGCTGGTTTCCAATTCACACCTACCACCAGAGTATATCGGGAATAAATGCAAACACGATGCACACGAACGCATTATCCGCTCAATGGGTATGCCCGTAGTGGGTATGTTAGTCAGTTACAAACGCTGTAATACCTTAAACATTTTCGGCCGAGCCAGTTCACAGTTCACACCTCGGCTGCCTGCTGCCGTCACGTCACACGTGTCCGCAGTGGGCGTGCACCTGCGAGTGCGTGCATCATAATTCACATCACAAATCACAGGATGCCAATTCAAGTCAGCACACCGTGGAAACTGAACCCATCTCTTTGATCTGAAACGAAGAGTGAGAGAGGGAAATTAGATACCTGAGCATACCGTAATGAAATGGAGAGTGAGGGCATTCCAAGGCAAACTGTTTCCCCACAACATCACAAAAAGTATTTTACATTGCGATGATGTTGGCAAAAAATAAAATAAATAATACCTTGACAAGATACTCCCAAACAAAAGTACCCAAAAGCTTAACACCTTATCTGCTAGGCTTACATAGTTTAAAATGGCTTTATCTTACTTAAATCTATCTGCTATCTACACACAGTTTGGCTAGCACTCGTTCTAAAAAGGTGATTGTTATATATCATTCAATAGAGGGAAACTCACAAACTTCTTCGTACTACTCTGGACCTTTTGGCTTTGAGAAAAGAAGGAAGCTGATGTCAGGGACCAGGGTCGGCACTCTTTTGTCATTTGTGGTTGACAATGGCACTGGCTGCCATTAGGCTTTCTTTTTACTGTCAAATGGTTCAGTTTTTCAGGCTGAGAACATGATTTATTTAAATGTGTTTTTTTATTCAATATCATTCAACTATTTATGAAATCAGGGCATTGGCAAGCAGGTTATAAAAATTAGCTGAAATGACATGATGCCAGTCAACTGCTCCTGAAGTGTGTTGCACTCTAGTCAGCCGTTCAGAGAAATAGGCCCGGGCAGCGCTTGTCGAACAGCACTGCGGATCCGAAGGTTGGGACTTTAATTGTGAAAAACCG